GGAGCATGAAATAAAATAAAATTAAATAAAGATCTGTTTGGTAGGTGGGGAATCTTGGTCCCAGGAAATAGGGGTGGCGATGGGGGAGGGGAGAACTCGAATCGTTTTTTAAAGCTGAACCAGGGAAAGTCAATTCTGCTATTTTCTGGCCTGATGAGTGGTTGGGACTGTTTCTCTTTCTCTCTGTCACCAGGAAACTGGTCCAGGGAGGGGACAAAACCCCAAAGCCACCATCAACCCAGGTGGGGCTCTCTCCCCCAGCTCTCCAGTCTGGGAGCACCTTTCCTCCTGGAGCTTCCCTTCCAGGGCGCCCCTTTCCCAAGTGCCCCCACCCCAGCAGAATTAACTGGAGGCAAGAGGAGCGCTTTTATTGCCTCCCCTCCTGCTCCACACTAAATCTTGTAGCAATGCTTCTAAAAGTCAATAAAATGAGAAGGAAGATGCGATAAAATTAAGGTGGGAAGTGTGATGGGGAGAGGAAATGGGAATCTTCTTTTTAATTTAGCTTTAATTTTAATTTTTTGTCACCTCTCCAAGCAGCCTCCGTGCCGGCTTTAGATGAGAGGTGGGGGAGGGGCCGACCTGGCTTTTTAAGGACTGGACAGAGCATGGGTGGGTGAAGGGGCTGGGAACTGGCCTGGCAAAAGGCTGCTCACTCAGAAGGAAGCGCTCCTTCTTTGGGGTCCAGAGTCCTCTGCCCAGTGCTAAGGGCTTGTGGCAGCTGATGTGGCCTCCCAGAGAGCAGGCACTGCCTCTCAGTCCTCTCTTTATCCACAGTTCCTGGCACACGACGAGCTGGAGCAGTAACAACAACAACGAGATGCTAAGTAATGGTTACTGGCTGGGCGTGGTGTCGCACGCTTGTGATGCCAGCACTCAGGAGGCTGAGGCAGCAGGTTTGCTGCAAGTTCAAGGCCACCCTGGGCTACACAGTGAGTTCAAGGACTGCCTGAACTATATAGTGAGACCCTATCTCAAAAAACAAACAAACAAAACCCTTGCATAAGAATACTGATAAAGTACAAAATTGACAAGTGCCAGTGGCTCTAGGTGTCCTCCTCGCCACTGGGGGATTGGCAGTAACAAGCAATGCAGAGGTAGAGGTAGGTGGGCCTGGTCTGGGCCATCTGAGGCTTCTTGGTGCTAATGGGAAAGCCCACAGGCTCAGCCAGCATTCTCTTTGTGTGATTTCTTTCCCATTTTTAGGAAGGATGAAATAATTCTCGATCCCACATCATCAAACCACAACCACAGGGCAGAGGCTCTAGGGCTCCAGCGGTAAACTTCTCCCCAAGAACAGGACCCCGGAGGCAACAGCATTACTGATTCCCCCCAATCCTGACAGCACCCAGGTGTGCTGAGTGGGGCTAGCAGGGCCACACGTGGCCTCTCGGAAGAGTTCAGAACCAGAAGCTCGGAGGGTACTTGGGTGGTCAGTGGGAAAGCTGGGTCTGTGGTCACTGTGGCACAACTCTGAGGTTTGCTGTCTTTTTCCACTTGGTAGGAGACCGCTAGGCAGTGCTTTTCCACTTCCTGTGTGGGCTTGTATCTCAGTCCTCCTGGAGGTAGGCAAGAGGCAGGCGAGAGGTAGGCCCTGTGTGTCCTACATGCAGACGTGGAAACAAGCTTGGAATGGTTGGGAGATGCCTCCAGGACTTAGTAGGAACAATGGCATTGGGCACTAGTTGTGCCTAGGGAAGGACCTGGCTGCTGTCTACCCTTAACCCGGTATGAGGGAAAAAATTATGCTTTCAGAAGATGCTTTCATCTATTAATCTCAGGCTCTGCCACAGGCGTGCCCCATCTTTGCCCTGTTTCCTGATTCACAGAGGCCCACTGAGCTACCCTACCTTCTCCACCTGGAGGAGACAGGAAATGGTGGACCTAACAGACTTGCTGCTGCCCAAAATAACATCACCCTCATTAAATTCACATTCTCTCTCTCTTTTTTTTTTTTTTGGTACCGGGGATTGAACTCGGGACCTTATGCTTGCGAGGCAGGTGCCGGAACCACTGAGCTAAGCCCCTGGCCTCTAAATTCACATTCTCAAAGCCAGCTCAATGCCAACATGGAGGGCACATGAAGTATTTATAAGTTAAAGCTAGTTACCAGATACTGTGCAGAGTGTAATACTAATTATGTTTTCTTTTAAATACAGTTTATGGCTGTTATCTGTATATGCACAAAAGAAAGGACTAAAAGAATATACACTAAAAATGTTTGCTTCCTCATATTTCTGTTTTTTCCAAATTCTTTGCTGTGAACATGTTTCCTTTTATAAGTAAAGAAAATGATACATACATTTTAAAGTTATTTTCTTTTTTGGAATGCTGGGGTCAAATGCAGGACGTCACACATGCTAAGTAAGCACTCTACTGCTGAGCTGCTCCCCAGCTTAAAATTCTGAGGTTTTATTTTTTAAAACACTGGTCCTCCTCCAGTTTGCTGGTTTTGCAGTCTCCTAAGCACAGCCAAGAACAGTTCATTTGTGAGTGAGTATGTGTATGAGTGTGTGTGTTGGGGCTCCCAACTCCCCCACCCTCTCCCAGTGACTGCTGTTCATCATAACCAGGACAATTAACCATCCCCTTATTATTCACACGTCATGACTACTAATCACCCTTATTAATATCCATGCTTTCCAAAACCAGGAGGCAGCTTGGCTCAGACGCTTGGAACTCCACAGGAATCCAATCCTGACCCAGGCGTGTCCCGTTCTGCTCTGTGCCGTCACCTCCCTCTGGAGCAGGAGGAGCTGCCCTTTCCTCGTCCCTCCACAGTGGCCACTGCCTATTCTTCCCCTCCTTCGCCAGTTCATTAGAGCTTCACACCCCTGGAGGGCCACCTATGTCCCTAATTCCACTGAGCCACAGACTCTCCTTCCCCGTAACTGAAACAAAGGTCTCTTCCTGTGGTCGGTTCCTTCTCTCTAATTATCCCCTTAGTTCATAAATGGCTGCTTTACGCCAGAGAGATACGGTGAAAGGCTAACCTTCATGGTTACACCATTTAATCATGTTCAGTCTCTAAACATGGTACTTGTTTTGGGAAACACATCAGCAGTTCTAATCCAGCTAATAATAACATTGGCTGCTTAGCTAATGTTAAATTCCCTGGCTAATGTTTGACACAGATTTATACTGTGGGTCTTTTCAGCCCTCACTTGTGTGGTGGCCACAGCAGCTCTGAGAAATGTTGAGATGAGCTATGCTATGTGCCAGGGAAGTGAATCCAGACTTCCCACATGTGCAGGCCCAGAATTTATAGTGCACTGATATGCCAGCCCCCAGCGGGCCATGGTAGCCTCTTCTGGCTGGAGGTGAATCCAAACTAACCACAAGAGGTGATTCCAGCCCTCTCTGTACTGGTCAAGATGATAGGTATTGACCACCACTCACCCCAGAGATGAGAGCCATGATTTCTACTCCTGAGCCCGATCGTGGAACTCACCAGGCTTGAAGATGATGAAAGTCATTGGGACAACATACTTGAGCCAGTTGCATTTATTATAGCAAGAAATTAGACAGCTTTCACATGCCCAACAATGAGGGAGTGACTAAACAAGATGAGGATCTATCATGTGACAGAATGCCATGCGGCCATTGAATGACAAGACAGTGGGCTCTGCCATCCTGAAGATGTGTGTGTGCGTCCATGAGGGTGAGAGCAGGAAACTCAAGGTAAAGGTAGGCAGACCCTAGACATACAGCCCAGGGAAGGGACTGGGTTCCTGGCTATTAATGAGGCCATTTGTAAAAGGAGATCAGCAGGCATTCCCAGTACTACAGAGACTAAGCTGGGTCACTGGTCTAAAGGCCAGTATGCAGTGTTCAGGCCTTTTCTGGTACCTGGCAACTAAAACACCCATGAAGGCAGCAAAATTTCAAAAAGGATTGACAGGAATGTGATTGCTTAGAAATGAAAGTTCTTAGGATCCCTTTTGATTACTTCATGTAAGAAAAAAAAACCAGGAAGCTAATATGAACATTTTTTAACAGAAAGGGAGGGAGGGAAAGAAAGAGAAGAGAAGAGAAGGGGGGGAGGAAGAAGAAGAAGAAGAAGAAGAAGAAGAAGGAGGAGGAGGAGGAGGAGGAGGAGGAGGAGAAAGGGAGGAAGGATGGCAGAGTGGAAGGAAGGAAGGGAAAGGTATAGAAGAGGGTCTATAGTTTGTTCCCACTTGTGTGTGTTTTGAAAAGTGAGAGAGAGAGAGTGTAAATTATATACATTTGGGAAGAATATAGTGGTAGTTGGATAATGGCCCCTCGCATATGTCCATGTACTAGATTATGTTGTGTTACATGATCAAGGGAAGTTAAGGTTCCAAATGGAATAAAAATTGTTAATCAGCTGAACGTAAAATGGGAGATTATGCTGAGTAGTCTGGGTATGCACAACATAATCACACAGGTCCTTGAAAGTCAGAGAGAGACAGAAGAGAGTCAGTGACGTGAGGTGAGAAAGATCTGGCCTGCTGTTACTGGCTTTAATGGTGGAGGAGGGAGGCCAGGAGTCAAGGAATGTGGGGAGCCTCGCCAAGCTGGAAGGCACAGGACAACTGAGTCCTCCCTGAGGCCCCCAGAAAGAACTCAACCCCACCCTCACCTTGACTGTACGTGGCCCGGTGAGAGCCACTCGGCTCTGGCTTCCAAAGCCAGAAGACAGTCCCTGTGTGTTGTTTCAGCCGCTGCCTCTAAGTTTGTACTCATTTGTTACAGCCATGATAGAAAATGAATACAGACCTATAAGAAATTGTTGATAGTGATTAGATTGAGGAAGTGGGCTCAGACAGCCTGGAACAGGGGCTCTGAAGTAGAAGAACTCATTTTTTCATGTCTGTCCTTTTGCGTGGATTGAATTTCTACTATTAATGTGAATTTTCATAATAAATTCATTCCACAAAAGAAAGAGAGGAAGGAAGAGGAGAGAGAGAGAAAGAGACAGCAGAAAAAGAGAAGAGCTGAAAAAAGACAGGAAATGATTCAGGAGGGTGACTCAGGAGCCTTGAAGACTCTTTTCTCCTTGGAGGATGAGTTGGTGGCCCTTTGAGGACAGCCAGGCTGTGAAGATTGAAGAAGAAAGAAACGTGGATCCTCACCCACCCTAGTCCCCCAAGGAGGACCGAAGCCACACCCCAGTAAGTGGGGATGAGTAACCCCAAGTCCATGCTGAGAAGGAACCAACACCACCACCGCCCTGTGCAACTCCGGAAAACAGTGGAGCCTGGCGAGGCATCCAGGATGTTTTATCCGAAGGCCGTGAAATGGACAGAGAGCAGAGGAGCAGCAGAGACAAGTGAGCTCAAGCCCGAGGCAGGGAGGGAGACAGGCCCAAACTGACTCTTCTTTTGGTCCCTGTTCTCGCCATGCTAGTCAGGGAACCAGGAAATTGGTTCCACAGCTGGCAGCATCTGCCTCCTCTCCCTTTATCTACTCTCCTGTGCCGTCCTCCTCCCTGGTCCTCCTCTTCTGCTCCTCCTTTCCCTTCTCCTCCTCTTCCTCCTCTCCTTGTGAGCCCGTGGTGTGAACTGCCTCAGGCGTGTTTCTCACCGGGCACAGGACCGTCATCCTCCCTGTGTCTGTCTCTCACGGACCCATGGATGAAATGTGGCCTGAACACCCAACATCGGCTGTCTGTCCTCCCTCACTTCTTGGGGACAGTTTGGGGACCACCTCTCTCCCTCTGATTTTCCTCTAAGGATCTGAAAGAACATTTGAATAACTGCCCACACAGTTTAGCCCCCTCCTCTCCTCCCAGTACATTCCACTTGTATGTTATAATCCAGGACATTGTGGCAGCTCCCTTTCAGTCTGGTCTCACCTGCCCTCTGCTGTAGGAAAGCAGCCTGGGCTGCTTCCTGAGTGGGTCCTTGCTTTTGCACTTTGGAGTCTTTGCGCATGGTGTTCCTTCCATGAGGTAGCCCTTTCCTTCTGCACCTGTGAATCTGAGTCATCTGAGAAACCTGGTTTAATACCACTTCCTCCTCCTCTGGGCCTTCTTGGACTCTGCCTGCCAAAAAAGCTCTTTTTCTTCCCTGCTCTCCCATAAAGGAAATGTTCTCTGAGGTCTTCCGCTCACACCTTTCCCCCAAACTGGGTGGCATCTTGCTCTTTCCCCATGATGCCTTTCAGCTCATCAATCAATCAATGAGCTGAGAAAAGCAGTTGGTGTGGGGAGATGAGACATAGGAGGTCACAACATTGCCCCAATTCCAGTTAATTAGCCCTCTACAGGAGGCTTGGATTCACAGTCTGAAACACATGACACTGGGACCTTTGAAGGATGCAGATCCACCCCGTGGATTAGGTCCTGTCACCAGCCCATATTGCCCTGCCCAGGGCACCCCCAGCTAACAAAGGGTCTGAGCCCCCACTGTTACCTACCAATCCTATCCTGGGCCAGAGGGTTAGAAACAGCTACACAGCTACCCCTTCCTCACTGCTAATTCTCAAAGATGGGACACCCCTCCTGCTCCTTGTTCTTGAGCCTGCTCAGCTGCCAGATGGGGAGGCAAGGTGGGTTGGGTGGCGGCCCCAGGTCCTAATGAGCACTAATGGAGGGGAACAGGCACCTTCCCCTCAGCACCAGGAGTCAGGAGGTGAACACATCAGAAAGCTCTGCAGTGACAATCCCTGTCCTGGGCTGAGACCCAAAGGGACTGACATCACCTCTCTGAGGACAGCTGCACTCCCAAGTTCACTGCAGCATTGTTCACAGAAGCCAAGATATGAGGGCAACCTAAGTGCCCATCCGTAGATGAATGGATACAGAAACCTGTGCGTGTACACACACACACACACACACACACACACACACGAGTATTATTCAGCCTTAACGAGAGATCTGCATTTTGCCACAAACCTGGAGGATATTATAATAATGAAATAAGCCAGACACAGATAGAAAAATATTACATGATCTCACTTATGTGTGGAATAAAAAAAAAAAGTCAAGTAAGGGACTGGAGATTTAGCTCAGCGGTGCTGCCGCCTGCCTCTCAAGCACAAGGTCTGAAGTTCGAGCCCCAGTACAAAAAAAAAAAGTCAAGTACAGAGACAGAAAGTAAAACAGTGGTCCCTAGAAGTGAGGAGAAAATAGCTTTTGTAACAAAGTAGCAAATTATGTAGGATAAACAAGTCTAGAGATTTAACGTACAAGGTAAGAGCTACAGGTAATAAACTTGTACTGTATTTGGGATTCCTGCTAAGTGAGTAGTTTCTAGATACTCTTTGCCACGAAAACAACATCAAAAAAGGCTAACTGTGTGAGATGGTAGGTGTTTTCATTTCCTTTACTATAGTAACCATCTTACTATCTACCTATCTATCTATCTATATCCCTATCACCAAGTAATGTGCCTTAAATATACACAATAAAATGTATCATGCGAAAAAGCCCTCTGGCACAGAGCCTGACTGAACCGTTTGTCCCTGGCTTGTTCAGTAGCTTGGTGGAAGAGAGCAGGTCTGGTAGGGGAGGGCAGGGGCTGCACAGTGGGGGTGGGGGTGCTCTAAAGGGAACCACACCCCCCCAGCTCTGCAGACTTCTGTGCCCAGCTCCTGGCCCAGAATCAGGTGGCAGGAGGGAGGGTGGATCCTGTCTCAGCCTCTCAGATTTATTTCTTGATGTCCCTAAGGCCTTTGGAAGACTGCAGCCATTCTCGGCTTGGCTGGGCCCTCCTCTCCGCTCCACCACCAGTGCCTCAGTTCCAGCCCCAGGGCTCCAGAAACAAACCCCTGACGTGATGTGAACTGCCAGGGTGTCGCACATCCATCTGACAGCTCACCTGAGCACAGGTAAAGACATAGCACAAATGCCGTCACATGCGCCCCGATTTAAACCGGCCCTTCTGCTGAGCCAGTCCTGTCCATTAGTGCAATTGGCTTGAACCCCACAACAGGGTCCAGTGAGAGAGCAGGGCAGAGCTGTGAACCCATTTGTCAGATGAGGAACCCACAATTCCAGGAAAGTGAGGGGCCCGCTCAAAATCACACGCTCCAGAGCTAGTGATCACATTAATACCGGCAAAACCCACTGCAATCCGTCTGTTAAATGCCTGACCCAGAGCTAAGCGCTTTCCATGCATCTAATGTGCACAGTAGTCCCGTGAAAGAGACATTATGATCCTCATTTTATAGATGATGGCACAGGGACTTAGAGCCTGGGACTCACGCTTGTAGTCTCAGCTACTCCAGAGGCTCAGGCAGGAAGATCCCAAGTTTGAGGTCAGCCTGGGCAAATGAGTCAAAATCTGACTCACAATAAAAATAAAGATGTCTGGGCATGTAGCTCAGTTGTAGAGCACCTGCCTAGTCTTCATGAGGCTCTGGGTTCAAACCTAAGCATCAGGGAGGGAGGAGATGCAGATGAATTGGGGAAGCCATTGCCCCAAGCAGCCTGGTTCCATGGAAACCCTCAGGGAATGGACCCTGCCTATACAGACTCCAAATCCCAGCATTCAGACTGGTTCATGGCCACATGAGGTACTCACTAAACATTCGTAGAACACGTCAACTGAGTAGTCTCCCGCTACTACCCTCACCTTGGCTTACCCTGCTAACTCTCTCCTAATTCCCCACACTTTCAGCCAGCCACCAAGGCCTCTCCCAGGATGTCAGGGTAACAGAGCCCTCAGGATCCCCAAAAGGGCTGGGAAACCGCCCATCCTCCAACTCACTCTCCATTCCCACCAGCACTCAGGGAGTGTGGCTTGGCCCTGTGTCTGTCAGCTTTCTGTCGCCAGAACACATGCCTGAGAGAATAAACTGATAAAGAGGAAAGGTTTATTTTGGCTCACAGCTTTAAAGTTTCTCATCCACGGAGAGGTGGAGTCATTGCTCTGAGGCTTCTGGCAAGAGTTCCAGCTGGCAAGGGCAGGGAGTTAGTCATGGCACAAACCCACTCACCTTGAAGCCAGGAAGCAAAAAAGGAGCAGAGCTGGGATTGTGGCTCAGCAGTGGAGCACTCCCTAGCATGCCCAAGGCCATGGATCCAATCCCCAGTACAGGCAGGGCAGGGGATGGGGGTCCCACAATCCTTTCTGAGGGCACAACTCCCCCTGACCTAACCACCTCTCACTGACTGAACCCCACTTCTCAAAGGCTTCACCATCACTCGTAGGGCCACCCTGGAGTCATGGCTTAGATCTGAAATAGTCCCCTGAAGCCGCATGGACTGGGAAGGTGGCCGGATCTTGGGGAAGCTATAGTCCACTTGCTGTTAGGAGGTGGACCCTGGTTGGAAGAGGTGGGTCACTGGGAGTGTGACCTGGAAGGGTATTTCTCCCTCCCCAGCTCCTTCTCTCTGTTTCCTGGCTGCTATAATGTGAGCAGCTTTCCTCCACAACACCGTTCCTGCCTTGGAGCCAGCCACAGACCAAATCCTCTAAAAAATGTGAGCCAAAAGAAACGCCTCCCCCTTTAAATTGTGGGTGTCAGGCATTGTGTCTCAGTAGCCTGGAAAGTGACTCGGGTACCTGAGAACCAAGCCTGTAACACTTGGGCCTTCTGGAGACATTTAAGACCCAAATGGGAGCAGCACCCCCACGGTCTCTCCTTGCCGGTTTCTCCATCTGCACCCGATATGCAGGAAGCAGGCAAACAGACTGCTGGAAAAGAGGCCCTGGGGCAAGTCTGCCCTCTATTTCCTTCTCCTCTGGGGATTCCCTTTCTCTCTAGATCCCACAGTGCCCCAAACAGAGAGGGGGCTGTAAGGGATGAGACACAGAGCAGGTGCTGCAGTGGCCAGGCCCAGCTTCTTTTCTAAATGGAGAAAATGCTAAACTCCTCGACAGCGACAGCGCTCTCTCAGGAAGGGCCCCATAGGGTGAGGTTTCCGAGGCCCTTGTGGATTGTCGCTGGCCCCAGCTGCCTCCACCCCCAGGCCTCAATCAGTCAGCAGCAGTGAGTATTTACAGGGCCTGCAGGCAGGAAGAGATGCGAGATGTCACTTCTGCAAACTGCCAGAGCAGGAGAGGCGTCTGCCGCTTGGCATACTGAGTGCAGTTCTGAAACCTGATATGATTATCCCCGCTTCATAAAGAATGAAGCAGAGGATGGAGTGACTTGCCCCAGATCAGGTGGCTAGGACACAGCTAACTAGGAGTCCAAACCCCCCAGGCCTTGGGTCCTGTGCCTGTGTCTTGCTCTGGGAGCTAAGCTGACCCCTTGACCACATCTTCCAAGGTTTCCTTCAAGGCTGGAGACTTTACAGATAGCCCCAAGCCTCCTCCTGCCCCCAGGTTCCAAGGACAGATAAGATGGGCAAGACCCACCTCCAGGTGGACGCTGGCTCCACAAGGCCAGGCTTTGGTAGTCAGCGAGAGGACAGGCTTCCCCTCCCTGCCAAGGCCTGGCTACTCAGGTCCTGCAGGTGTGGCCCCACCTTGGCCCTCACTGTCCCTCCCACTGCTATTGTTTCAGCGCCCAGTCTTTAGTGGCCCCATAAGTGACCAGGAATCATGGATGGGAGGCACACAGCTCCTGATCCGCACCTTAGTACCTGACACCGCCCGCCCAGTACCATTCACCCAGCCCTCAACCTGGGCGTCAGGTCCAGTGCGGCCTGCCTCACCTCATAGCTTCAGCCCCAGGCTGCTCTCTGGTCACTGCGCAGCCTGGAGACCTGAGGATTGACCGATATATGAGCGCCACCTAGTGTCCCTAGTGGGCGCTACAGCCCCAGCCTGGCTCAGCCGCTCCACTTTGTCTGGGGCAAGATATCTAACCCTAGAGCAGGGGGCAGGAAAGGGAGTTCTCTAGCCTGGGCCTCAAATCCAGACTTCTGGCATAACACCAGATGACACTATTCCTTCAGGTACAGAGAGACACCAGAATTCAGCTAGGGAAGCCCCTTGGTATTTGAAACCTTTGCTTATACACAAAAAGAGATCAACCAGCAGGGCCCTGACTTAATAATTATTTGTAAGGCTTAAAAGCACCTTGCAGATAGCCCAATCACACTGCACTATTTGGTATTTATTGGTGAAGAATAAACTTTTCAAATTGGCCAAATTTTGGGAACCTCTTTTGGTGAGATTTTATCTTTTTTTTAAAAATTCTTTTATTGGTCCATTTTACATATACAATACGTTTACATTTATCATTGGGTGCTTGTACCTGTACATGATATATCTTGATTCTTTTTTTTTTTTTTGGTACTGG